GTGTGTGTGTGTAAGAGTTCTACCCCACTACAGACTCCTACTAATTTGTAGGTTTTCTTCAGGGTGCAATAAACAGATATTTAAACGTTGTTGTTTATAATAAACGGCAATGCCGAGATTTGTCCAGAGGAGGGCGCTCAAGCAGGCTTGGTTTCTAGATGGCACAGGCCCACTTTCTACGGCACTGTCTGGACGAGGGGCCTGCGCCTGAGCCAGTGCCGTCACAGGCCCGTCACAGGCCGAGGCCCTCGAGAGACAGCAGCGGTGTTCTGCACGAGCTCGCTGGGGATGGCGGGCACCGCTCACCTTCCTGGGGCCGTGATGCTGGTCCCCAGGCGTCACACCGTTTTACAGTCCCCTTCTAGGCTCGAGGACGTGCTTCTAACCTATGGATTATGGTACAGGTGAGACCTCACTCTGTGACTCACCGTTACATGGCAAAGGAGAATGTGCTTTGGTGGTAAAACTAAGGTCCGCTGACCTTGAGTTAACCAAAAGGGAGACAGAAAGTTGCTCTTCTGGAAGAAGACCGCCTCTGCCTTCACATGCACAAGAAATTCTCAGGGGGCTGAAGCGTCGTGGGCTCTCCTTACCACACACACGCGGGCAGCGAGAGAGGCGCCCGGCCGCCCTCCTGAGCGCTGAGCTAACGGACGGGGAGGACGCCTGCGCCCGCCATGTAGAGCCCCGGCTCATCGCCGTCCCTGCCCCGAGGGGTGGGGCCCCCTGGAACAGACCCGGGATGGCAGCAACGGCCGCGTCCTCCCCCACGGCGGCACAGCTGCCCTCGGCACCCTCACTGACGGGCAGGTCTCATCACTCACGCGCCGAGGCACCTCAAGCCCCGTCTCACGCTGACCCCCAGGGGTGCACGGAACGGCTGACAGCACTTACTGTGATTGTAGCAGGTGGCCAGCACGGCTCTGTCCGCGGGGCTGGCACTAATGTGCCAGATTTCACCCACTTGGTGGAGGAGGACGTTCTTATTGATGATGTTGTTTTCATCATCGAAGTCTATGATGTGGATCTACGAACAATAGAGAGGACATCAGGGCGTTACTTAACGAAACAGAGACAAGAACCACCACACGCATCTCTACCACCTTCACGAGTCACTCGTGTTGCTCTAAGAGCACGCGCCTCTGCACATCCATCTGGCTGTGCTCCTCTCAAGAGGCAAGCATGAAGTCCCTGGAGAGTGTGTCACAACGGCAACTCTACGACACGGCCCCCGGCGTAACCAGTCCTAAGAAACGAGACACAACAAGCTGTCCCCTCGTGGCTCGGGGAGGCCACGGCTGGTGTCAGGGCCCGTCCTGCAGGGTCATGCAAATCGGCCAGGAGCCCCTGGGGCCCGCCACGACGCTGTGGAGAGAAGGGCCAGGCACTGCCGCCTCCCCAGGACCGGGACTGCCCGGCTCTGCCCACGGCGTGGTGGGCGTGACGTGCCACGCAGCTGAGGTGGCAAGGGGCGAGGCAGGACTGCACGCTAGCACACCTTAAAGCTCTTTCTAAAGAGGGGTCCGACAGCGGTCACTGCGGACGATCCCATAACTAATGAACACGGCATCACACTGTGGCCACTAAATGAAGTTATCTCCATGCTATCTGGATAATTTTGGGAGAATTAAAATGATTTTCACATGTATTCTCTTATCGATACCCAAATCAATGAGAAAAATGAAATGAAACCTTAGTTTCAAATATAAATTTACATCAAGAAAACAATCATGGAGCTGCACAG